CTATCAGTGGCCTATGTAATGCGACTGCATAAATGTAAGTTATCTGAACTCTATGCCGTGACTCTTTTTTGTAATTAAACATATTTTCTGTATATGTTACTCAGAGTTTGATACACTTCGACACGTTGAAGCTTGAACATGGTTTAACTGTCTGAAACAAGATTGTAGTATTTTTATCATGACCTGCAGGCGGCGCTGTGGATTAACCTGACTGACTGGAACAGTAAGTCTTCTGTGTACTGTACAGTAATAGAGAAGGCCAGTGTTGTTACACATTTTCTTACTCAGTAATCTTTTGTAACTCGATGTATCTCTTTGAAATAATATTCTTATACAAATCTGGTTAAAAACCGTTTATTCCTCCACAAAGTGGAGGTGTAAATTTGTGTACAGTGTCCAAAGATCGTTCGTTGTTACAACTAAAGTCAGTTTTTTTGGACCAGTTGAACTGATGGACCATTTTGTGCATACATTTATTGTGGAATTATTGTGGAAACATTTACTTTAATTGTTATGCAGTCTTCTATCACCATCCCCTGCTTTCATTTAATTTTAAGATTTTTACTTAAAAAAAGAGAGATTAAAACAGGAAACAAATTAACAGCAAATAAATCAGACAATGATATAAAAGAAATACATAAAACATAGGATAATGACTCAAAATATAACAACCTGTGTGTAGCATGTTTAAATAACCACTGTGGCAAATGCACATTTTTTGTGCATCAAGTCTTTCTTTCTTTCTTTCTTTCTTTCTTTCTTTCTTTCTTTCTTTCATTCATTAATTAATTAAAATTAAGTTAAATAAGAAAGCCTGCTGAGATGCTTTAAATTCTGTCGATTATCATTGATTAACATGAACACAAAACAAATTATAACTAGATGGGTAGTTTTACAACTTTCTTTGCTACCTTTTTGTTGTACTGTAAATCCTTTTTTATGTTATTATTATTATTATTATTAAAGATAATAGTTCATGACATTAGCTGTCACTTGGCAATAAATGCAAATATTTATTATTATTATTATAAATGACATTTACAATAATAGAATTTTCTGAAGAAATATTTATGGGGGGAAAATACTAATATACATAAAAATAATATCAATAAGGCAGCATGCTGTCAGTTCTTAGTTTCATAGTTGTTTCCTGAGTCCAGTGACTGGGCTGAATGAGCTGGCATGTTTATGTCTTTTATAGATGCACTTAGTCACAGTATTGATTTCCTTGAGCCGTGCAAGACTGCATGTGTGAGGTGCGTTTGGCAGACTGATGGTGACAGTATCAGAATGTTGCTTTTGAGGATTTGTAAAGCCATTCTCTGCTTTACTAGTTACTTGAAAAAAAAGTAATCTGATTACGTAACTCGCGTTACTTGTAATGCGTTACCCCCAACACTGCAAGTGGGAGTCTGAATGATGTAAAGCACATGGCTAGTGTAATTATAACACATGCCTTTTAAACTTCAGCCTGCACTTGGCAGATAATGTTTGGATTATTGCTTCTGTCTGCATAGACTTGAATGGAATTTCGACAGCATGTGTTAACCATATTTCAAAGACAAATTACAAACTACTTTCTTGAGTCAAAAAAGCACTCTTAAGTTAACAAAAAAGCCAACTAAATACATTACATTTAAAATTTGTATCTATAATAATTATAAACATTTTCATTCAGTATTTCATGTGCAATATGCAGATAAGAGTCTGAAAAAATTACATTTATTTTACATTTAAGATTATTCTTTTAAAGTATATCTTTTGACATATATTTTAACATTTCGTTTTCTCATTTTTTTCTAACTTTTAAACAGTTGAAAGGATAGAATTTGGGGTAAAAAGCTCTTTAGTAAAAGGGGCTAAAGGACCCCTAAGACTCGCTGTGGCCAAAAAATGTCATCAAAAATGCTGTTATGTTCACAAAAGAGGCAGATGCAAAAAACCTGTAGTGTAACTAATTATTTCTATTATTGGGAAGGAATAGATTTGTTGTGAAGGATGTGCAGAGTGTGCTCTCATTGCTCCAATCACAATGGAGGGTCATTAGGGAAACAACAACAATGCAGCTCTGTTGCACTGTACTGTGCTGAAAGGAAAATGTATAGTTCTTATAAAACACTTGAGGCGTTATGAGATGCCAAAAGTGATTAAATGAACACAAAATTGTTGTAGCAGTTGCAGAAGCAGTTATTTCGAGTATGTACTAAGCACATTACATACAGTATGTTCAGTATGCACTTAAATGTTATTTTGTGGTATTGTATGTCCATTTTTACACAAATTCTGTTTCCCCATCATTGCTCAATAAAAAATAAATATATTTTTTGAACTTTCTTAAGTTCCTTAAGGGGGCTTTTAGCCCTTTTGTAACCTATTATACAGTGCATATTATACAGTAATACAACTTTTGTTGTGAGTGTATGGATATAGAGCAGCCCTAAACTCAGTGGTTATTGACTGGCATAGTGTGGAGCCCTGAGGACTGGTTGACTGAGATAGATCAATCTTTGTGCTTAGCCCAGAGCCTCAGGGAGAACCAGCGCTCCCCACCAGTCACGCATGACCAGACCTTGAATGGTTCTGATCTCCAATCATCAGGGGATCATTTAAAGGTTAATCAATTGATTTCAACTATCTCATAATTTGAAATCGAAGGTCAGGCTTTTAATAGCCGTTTGTCTATGACCAAAACAATTTGAGAGCAAATTAAACGTATATGAAAGTGTTGGAGCCTATGCCCTTTCCTAATGCGACCGGATCAGGGAGAGGGAAACAGCGACTCATGTTTTCATTGGGAGAGGTGAACTGTGCCGAATAAATTATAGCTGACATTTGGATCTTGATGAAAAGGTTGAGTCTGAGACACAGTAACTAAATAATGTTGAATGGTCAAATGCTGCAGGCAACATTTCAAAATCCATTTTCCCTGCAAACCTGCATCGAGTAGCAATAAGAGGTCTTTAATTGGTTTGCCCACTGAGTAAATCCCACTTTCTTAGATGCGGGGCATTTTCTCCAAGCCTCCATCTGTAGGCTATGCTACACAATTAAAAGCATATATCGGGCTGACGCAGTCTCCTGTTTAAAGCGCAGAACTTCTTTGCATCTTATCACTACACAGTTGCAGTCATTGTCCCGTTCAGAAGATCTTCAGCGGCTGTCAGTGGCCTTTCTTAATTTAGTCCACGGTAACGCTCCCCCTCGCTTCTACATAATGGATGATTCTGCACCCCAGCACGCAGGAAAGGTTTAATTAAATCATATTCCAATCATAATCCATGTTGTTAATTAAACTGGATAATTTATAAGTACAAAAAAGGGTATTTATTAGCTGCTCTGCGGTGCTGGTTCAGTCGCAGCGCATCAGAAAGCGCCCCCCATCCCCCATCCTCTCCTCGTACTATTGATGCCTTCACATGATTGATAATGGAATGGTGACTGCTGTACTATTTGTCTAATGGTGGTGCAATTAAATCCCCTTGTAAATGACCCATGCCTCATTTCATCCTAATCTATGAAATTTTTATTGAATTTGTCAGCGTTAATTGAAAAATACTGCTATTTAATGTCTGCACTGCAGTTGTGTATCAGCCTGTCTTTAATGAGACTGTGTCCTTGTGACCCTGGGGAGGGGGTGGGGAGATTGCCCTTGATTTGGCGTGGAGGCAGAAGTGGGGGCTCTGGGTCAAGGTTTTTAGGGTGCAGGAAGGGAAGGAAGGTCCCCAAACATTAGGACTAATCACCACTGTGAACACAGAAAACGGACGCATTCCTTTTAATTATGTGGGCCAAATGATGCACACATGACCAAAGACTTTACAAGCATGGAGACACATTTATTGATCAGCAATCCCACTGAATAATTCATGATTAAATCCCCCTCACCAAAAACATTGACAATTTCATTATGATGTTTTTCCCCCTGGATAAACTTAAGAATAGGATTGGGAAAAGCCAGAGGAAAGAGAAATCCTCACTGCCGACAGAGATAATGTCTTGTAATTCAGGATAAAACCCCCCTCACAAAAAAAAAAAAAAAAGAAAATTTAATTGTTTATTCATGGTTTTAGAAATATAATTTAGCCTGCCTATTTATGCATGATGTAATGTGTATGAAATTTAAAAAAAAAATTACATTGCACTGTAACATCAGCGAAGTTGATGACATATGCTTTTAGTTTCAGACTTCACTATGTCTTCATGCAGAGCAGATTGACTCTGTTTAAAATATGTTTCATATGTTTACGCATGTGAGGAATGCAGTGTATGTGTGAATGAGGGCTATTAACTGCTGATTCACAGAGATCGGGGCATCAAGTGTCTGGAATGACATCTTGTGATGATGACTGACTGCTATAAAGGGCAGAGGATCATGTCATTATGAACAGACCAATGTCAGTGTCATCTGTGTATAGACTGTGAGTTTTCAGTTAGAAACAGATGTAAGGATGCTATTTCAGTCATATTATGTATGTGGAAAACATTCATATAATAAATAGGCTATATAATAACTTTGTGAAGGATTGATTGGCTATATTTGATGTGTGTGAACTAAAAAATAGGAATTTATAACGTTTTAAAAAATGTCTTGCTTTATTGATGCTCTTTGAAGTTTTGTATAATGAACTATATTTATTTTACATTTACAAATTGACATCTCCAAATGGCCAAATGGTGGTTTTCATTAACTGGAATCGATGAAAAACTATTCAATGCAATTGCAATTACAGTGCCAAAATACACATCAGATCACATCTCACATGATTCTTGTTTTGACTGTTTTGGAATGTGAGACTGAGTTAGTGACGTTCTAATTTAGGTGACAGTAGCCAGCGCAACGCTCGCGGCTCTGGCGCGTCAGGACAGTTCCACATAAACGGCTGAAACTGAACCAATAGTAAGCGCGGAGTCGCGGTGGGCGTGGCCAGAGCGCGTGGTGCAGACGCTTAAACCGAAGGAGCGTAATTCAAACTCACACTTCGGTAGATGATCACAGCTGATACTGCGAGGAGCAATTTATCGTGACTTCCATCAGATCGAAATGAAACGCGGCCAAGCAGAAGGGACAAGGACGCTGAAATAACTCAAAGGAGGACGATAAAGCTCATCTGAGATGCTCGACCTTTTTCTCGTCCAGATATTTCTCAGCAAGGAATCTGCGTCCGGTGTTTGTGTTTCAATGCACTTCTCTCGCTCTATTCTTATAACAAAAAAATCAGTTTGAAACTGAACTAAGTCAAATCAGATGCAACGGTTTTATGGACTGCTGCATCCAGAGAGTCATTCACAGGATTACAAGTGTCAGTGTGTGACACTGCAGCAGTGACATCCTCATCTGAGAAGCACAGGGGAGACAGCTGCTCCCACAGACTTCAGGACTTCACAAACTGACAATAGGCTATAAGATCATATGAGTGCAGCTTTCAGCACACCGTTCATGATGATGCAGCGTCCGGTGGGAAGCACCACTGCATTCAGCATTGACTCGCTCATCGGAGGTCCACCGCAGCCCAGTCCGGGTCATTTCATGTACACGGGCTATCCCATGTTTATGCCCTATCGGTCAGTGGTGCTACCTCCGCCTCCTCCACCACCTCCTCCAACTCTTCCTCAGAGCGGTCTCCCCGCGACCCATCCGCACCACCCGATCCCGGGGTTACCCAGCGGGTTCTGCTCCAGCCTGGCGCAGGGCATGGCGCTCACATCCACGCTTATGGCCACGTTACCCGGCGGCTTCTCCACCTCGCCATCTCAGCAGCACCAGGATGCGGCGAGGAAGATCGGCTCTCGGTCTATTCACGCCATGTTCGATAAATCTCAGGATATTCGTTTGGATGGAGAAGACGGGAAAACGTTTCCAACGAAAGATTCAGCGACCCTTCCGTCATTTCACGACCCGCAGTCCGTTCACACTTCTACAGGTGAGACAAAAACAGCCTGCAGAACTCTTCACGCATTTGTTTTCAGTGCGCATTCTGAATAGATTTACGTTAACCTACCCTAGTTGTTTTTGAAGTGTCTTTAAAAAATATAATAGGCTAATATTAAAAAAAATAAAATTTAAAACTTATCTTGTTATTATTTTTGTATTCTTAAATTCTCAAACACTTCTCAAAATGTAAAAAAAAAAAAATATATATAGCCTATAACTTAGAAATTATTGGAATTATTTCTACGTCTTTACATGCCATTCATTTTATTCTTAATGATTTCTAGAAACAAATTGTGTAGGTTACTCTTGGTATGATTAACCGGTCTGCTTTACGCTGAAATTAATTTTGTCATACCGAGTCGCACCGATGAGGGACAGGAATGTGGGACAGAAATAATTATATAAAATCCTCCGGAAATAAAATGTCAAGATTGTGGCTTATAAAATTTCAGTGTAACACGTGAATTAAAGGCCCATATCAAGTTTTCAGGGAATGGTGCCTGAGGCCGAGCTGCCATCAGTGACTAAATTAGCTCGTTTTAATTGAGGGATCGGAGGGTCAGGGGTGTTTAAATGTTCATAAAACTGTAAGCAAAATTCACTGTCGCCTGGATCATTTATGAAGAGTATAATAAATGTAGTCCAACATTATTATTGCAGCCTATAACTGCAACGCAAAGAAAATAGACATTAGCTAAAGGTATAATCTGATATTAAAAAATGTAATTTTTGATTTAAAAAAATGATGGTATATGTTCATGACATGTTCAGAAAAATAGAAATGAGATGAAAAGACAAATAATCTAAAGAGATGTGGAAGGAGGGGAAACTTTTAAGCCGGTTTCAGAAATCTAGTTTTGATGTGTACAAACAGCCCTCCAAAGGAATCCATCACCGTGCGTAATTGCGCGTAAAAGTGGCAGCAATAAACAGGAGGAACGTGTTGCGAGACAAAACCAGATAAGATTCTTATGAAAACACAGCTTGTTTTCCCAACCTCACACTCTATTCAGAAATAATAAATACAACTTTCCACACAGCAAATTATTGTTTAGATGTTTCATTCTATTAGTTCCAGGCAGTTCTCAAATTAATTCTGCTTTTTATTTTATTCCCATAGTGCGAGGTCACAACAAAGACGACACGAAGGAGGATGAGTGTCACAGGAAAGATGAGAGCTTCTCCATGGACAGTGATTTAGATTACAGCTCCGATGATAACGGGCCGGGTAACGCCATGTGTCAGAAGGAAGATGGAGACGCCAACGGAGGACTGGACGATGGCGTCCACGGCGGGAATGGGGCCGGGAACACCACGTCCACCGGGAAAAATCGGAGAAGGAGGACCGCTTTTACGAGCGAGCAGCTCTTAGAACTGGAGAAGGAGTTTCACTGTAAGAAATATCTATCCCTCACAGAACGCTCACAGATCGCCCATGCCTTAAAGCTCAGCGAGGTGCAGGTCAAGATCTGGTTTCAGAACCGGAGAGCCAAGTGGAAACGGGTCAAAGCGGGCAATGTGAACTCCAAAACCGGAGAGCCCTCCAGAAACCCGAAACTTGTGGTGCCCATTCCGGTGCATGTTAGTCGGTTTGCAATACGCAGCCAACACCAACAGTTAGAACAGGCTAGACCTTGATACACTGGGTTTAGATAGCTACTAGAGGACTAAGAGACAAATCAGCGAATACTAAATCTGACCAAACTGTTCTTGAGGCTGATGTTTCTGAGGAACCCAGGACACGAAAATCTATCCAGCTGATAGTTTGTGCTATATATATATATATATATAGTTTTATATAAGCAGCAAACTCAATTCGAACGAAAGGTTCGAACTAAGACCTCATACTGGGAGACACTGCAGTTTTATTTCCAACTTTGGACCAAACCACAAACAACTTTAAGTTCAGGAAATTCCACTATAAAAGAAAATAATCAGTCTTATGTTTAGTTTTGTGTGACTGTCTAGTTCATGTGGTTTTGGCAGAGATGAATATTATCCTAAAAGGAGCACTTCTGGTCTCTGCTAAAGAACACAATATAATTCAATTAATAGTAAAATTAACACCGTTCCCTCGAATTTATAAAACGACCCGTTAAATATGTGCTCTTTATTTTTTATGGTAAATAGTCTATATTTTAATTTTTTGCTTGTTTTCTTGCATTCATTTTCATTTTTTTCTGTAACCTTTTCAGATGTCACGAGCACGCTGCTAATTTATTTAATATTGTGAAAAAAACAACAACTTTGCTAACGTTTCATGAGTTTACTGACTTCAGAATATTGTGTGGATTAAAGCTGGACCTTGAACAATTGTAAATAAATTTGTCTTTTTTGAAATGCAACACGTAATCATTTCATTCACTTGTGGAGGAAAATAACTCAAACTGTACGTGTTCATATATAGGCTGTACAAACATAATCTCAAAAACAGTCGTGGATTGAGAGGGCTAATTTTAATAAGCATTTTAAACTTTTTTCTTTATTTGTGCAACTTTTGTTTATTTTTTCTATATCATTTGAAACAGCATTTAATAATAATAACAATAATAACATTATTATTATTATTATTGCTAATAATATTATCGTTTTACTGCACTAGCAGAACGGATTTGTGCTCGCGCCATCGCGCAGTTCGGTAGAGATGATCTGAAATCATCTGTGAGGTTTGAATGTGGTGACAGGAGGCTGTGCTTCATGAATGGATTTCAGGGTCAGGCGAGAGACACTCAGTACGGTGTGTGAACACACATCCGCCTGTCAGCCTTGATCTCCGGACCTGCCTCATGTTATAGGATGAAATGTAACGAGCTTATTCGGCCCACACGGGACTTGTCGGGAAACCTTGAGACGCAAATGTAAATCAAATATTATTTCGCATAAACAGCCTCTGCTGTATATGAAATGGATTGCAATACAGTAATCTAATTTACACATAGCAGCTCTTGACATTTCTATATCTTATGTTCATATTTTTTTCACACTTATCATTTCATAGAAATTCTATGTAAAAAAAAAATCAAATAATGCATTTTTAAAAATAATTTTCATTTATTTACTTAATGCTTTATTTATCCATATATAATATTAGCTTTTTTGCATTTGCGTCTGCATTAAAGGTCGTCGAAATATTATTCTGCCAGATTTAAAAATTTATACATACTCGTTCAAATTTTTTCCCGAATTTAACAGATTATAAACAAGTTTAGAATTTTTGTTACAAAAAAACTTACATATAGGCTACTACAAAGTTATTCTCTTATCAATTAAGACTTGTGAATGTCCAAACTTAACCATACAAGTACATTATTTATTGAAATACAATTAATATAAGTAGAATTTGTAATATGCATCATATGTAACCGTTTTAAATCAAGAACATAATATTTACCCTATTAATATGGTTTTTAAGAATTAAGGTTTTTTAAAAAGTGGTAAATGAGAAAATAAAAGACATTCTTACAGTGTCCATGTTACAAACATTATGTAATTAATTACTTTAATAATAACAATGCTGCTCTTTAATAATAACAATGTGTAATAACAATTTGCTCTACAAAATCATTACATATTAAGTACTTGTTTTTGTAGTAATGTGTACCTTTGTAATTGGAGTGTAACATGAAAACTGTAATGCGAGACAAAAAGTTCTTACTATTGCAGTGGTTTAAGTTTCATTATTGAACTGGAATACTAATTTTTCTTCCCAGAGGAATTGAATTATTATTGGTAGTAGCACGCACGCACGCACACACACACACACACACACACACACACACATATCATTTCATAGAAATTCTATGTAAAAAAAAAATCAAATAATGCATTTTTAAAAATAATTTTCATTTATTTACTTAATGCTTTATTTATCCATATATAATATTAGCTTTTTTGCATTTGCGTCTGCATTAAAGGTCGTCGAAATATTATTCTGCCAGATTTAAAAATTTATACATACTCGTTCAAATTTTTTCCCGAATTTAACAGATTATAAACAAGTTTAGAATTTTTGTTACAAAAAAACTTACATATAGGCTACTACAAAGTTATTCTCTTATCAATTAAGACTTGTGAATGTCCAAACTTAACCATACAAGTACATTATTTATTGAAATACAATTAATATAAGTAGAATTTGTAATATGCATCATATGTAACCGTTTTAAATCAAGAACATAATATTTACCCTATTAATATGGTTTTTAAGAATTAAGGTTTTAAAAAAAGTGGTAAATGAGAAAATAAAAGACATTCTTACAGTGTCCATGTTACAAACATTATGTAATTAATTACTTTAATAATAACAATGCTGCTCTTTAATAATAACAATGTGTAATAACAATTTGCTCTACAAAATCATTACATATTAAGTACTTGTTTTTGTAGTAATGTGTACCTTTGTAATTGGAGTGTAACATGAAAACTGTAATGTGAGACAAAATGTCCTTACTATTGCAGTGGTTTAAGTTTCATTATTGAACTGGAATACTAATTTTTCTTCCCAGAGGAATTGAATTATTATTGGTAGTAGCACGCACGCACGCACACACACACACACACACACACACACACACACACAGACACACACACCCACAACACACACACACACACACACACACAGACACACACAGACACAGACACACACACACACACAACACACACACAGTGGTTAGACAATTGAAATATGCTGGTCTGGATGATGTTGGAAAATAGACCGTGTATTAACGTACATAATGAGAGACACGAAACCTGGGCAGAAAGACATTTCAAGAAGAACAGTGATGGGAGACAGAGAGAGAAAGAGAGATCTGACAATTTCCTGAACTCTAATGAATTTTTTGCAAATAGTAATCAAGGCTGGCCGTGGTGGCTGACAGATAAATGGGCCCCTGGGATTGGCTCGGGCCTATTTATTGAAATACAATTAATATAAGTAGAATTTGTAATATGCATCATATGTAACCGTTTTAAATCAAGAACATAATATTTACCCTATTAATATGGTTTTTAAGAATTAAGGTTTTAAAAAAAGTGGTAAATGAGAAAATAAAAGACATTCTTACAGTGTCCATGTTACAAACATTATGTAATCACTAAATTAACAGCGTCAAATTAACCTCCAATGATTAATCCTGACAGAGACCACCGGCTACAGAACCAATAAGACGACTGAAATACACACATATGCTGAGATGTTTCATATTAACTTATATTTTTTATATTTATATTTATATTAAACAACAAAGTAATGAGAGAATGACAAAGATACATCTGAACCTTTTTTTTGTTTTTTAATAAACTTATTTTTGTAACATAAAACATTTCTCAAAGTAATTTTTTACCGTTTTTATTAAATAAAAACGTTTTAATTATGACAAAATTATTGTAATCATAATTAAAGGTTATTATTTAGAATTTTATTTTCATTTATAGATCTGTATATTACCAGAAAACCTATAAAACATCAAATATATCATTCAATTAATTTAATTGTATTTAATCCTTTACCAGTAATAAACAAAATCAGTGCATTATGTGAGATCTAGATCATTTATCACAATAAAGCAGTAGTTTATAGATGGTGATTTTTGTTTTTTCCCATATATTACATTTTAAAATACCAATACCAATAAATATAATTAGGTTAATATAGGAAAATCCCAATATTATTATTTTATAGTAACATGCACAACTGCTATCAATAATTAAATATGTTTTTTTCAAGCATTAAGCAGTCAGTTTGTGTATACAGGGCAGAGCGGTGTGAGTTGTAACACCATCAAACACCAATTATAAATAAGTTACAGATATGAAAACACTGTTATACATACAAATATTTATGTATATAATCATATTGACAGATTATTTGTAAAAAAGAAAAAAAAAGGTAATTACAATTTCATGTCTGGATTCTAATTCCTGATCATATCGATGCATGTTAAATGACAGAACAGGCATCATCTGAATATTTATGTTTAATTTGATATATAACAAATACATTCATATATTAAATACATGTGACAATTTTTAATGTCACAATTTTCTTTTTTGTACTGAATTTCCTATATATTGGGCATTTCAAATAAAGGTGTTTACAGTAAAATGATGACAGCATTTTGAACAAGTGCATTTGATTACCACAGTAAATTTATGCATGCAATTAAAAACGCATACTTAAAAAGAATTTTTTTTTTTTTTTTTAAGTGTCACCCCAGCTTGGAACTGGGTGTCAAGTAGAGCACTCTTGGTACTTGACACTAAATCACATAATTTAGACGATTTATTAACTACCACAATTTGTAGCAGAGAAATATGGGATTCTATCAAAGTTTGAGACACTGAGTTAACAGATGTTAACGAAATTTAAGATGAAAACAAAATGTGTGACAACACGCCAGGATTAGAGGATGGGATTTTCCAGCTCTTTCTCTCGAAACATTTGGATTATCATCACAACATGATGGTGCAGCTCACGCCTCATTTCAGGGCTTCTCTAGCATTTCTAATGCCATTATTGTGTGTTTGAGAGGGACACACACACACACACACACAATCATGATAGATGAACAGCTCTGTTAATGCACTGAACCAGTGCTTTGCCTTATTGGATTTCTAAATGGAACTGATTTATGAGAGATGATCAGACTAGATCTGGACAAGATGCTTCAGGGTTTCGTGGTTCTGGACCACCATGACATTTTAAGGATTCATTCCCCATGGCTCCTTTAGCCTGTCAGCCTTCAATAGCTTACAAGCTGCAAATGTTTGTGAAAGGAATTATAAGAAAACAAACACACTTCCTGTCACTAACTCATAATCACGCTCCCACTTCCCCTCTCAACCACGAAACATTTCCTCTTTCTATGGATTGCTCTTTTCTCCCCCTCTCTCCCTTTCTGCCTCGTCTAATCTCTTTAATTACATCTGTTTTCCTGGGCCGCTGAGGCCTCTTTTGTCCTCCCGGTCAGGGGGCTTTTGTGGGGGCAGAATCATGCCCCGCATCCCCTCTTTGGATGCTTTGTGGAGCTGCGGCTCTCTTCCTGAGGGAGAGGATGAGAAGGGGATTAGAGGATCTTTATCTGATTAGAGACACAGTGAGTCGGCAGGGCCTGGTTTTAACGCCTTCATCTGCACCGCAGAGGCCAGAGAGCGGGCTGCACCCGCTGACAAACCCAAACTAGGCTTTTAGGCTGCGGATGTGAGAAGAGCAAAACATATGTATGTGTGCGAATAACTTTACCTTCCTGAACATTTTCTGAAACACACAGTTGATTTGTATTTGAGATCTGAAGTAAAAACCTACTTGAAGTAAATGCCAAAATATATGTAACATATAAAGATTATGAAGAAATAAATGTATATTTTTATAAAGTTAATACTGTATATATATCTATTTAAAATTAAAATGCATATCTATCAAGCTATCTATCTATCTATCTATCGTGGGTATAGAAAAGAATCACCCCCCTTTAAAATAATCACATTTTGTTGCTTATTGTATATATAATTGGTACTTAAATATTACATGAAGTACTTGTCAAATGTTTGGATACACAATGATTTTTAACTGTGTGAAATATTATTACAATTTGAAAATACTGTTTTCTATTTAAATATATATTTTAAAATGTAATTTATTTCTCTGATGCAAAGCTGAATTTTCAGTATCATTACTCCAATCTTCAGTGTCACAGAAGTGCTGAATATGAATATATTTTAGTGTGCGTGTATGTTTGCGTGCAAAATAGCCTACTGAGATACTGTGTAAATAGTACAATATATAATATAAATATTATAAATAAATAAATATATTATAAAGTTACATACTATGGGTGTGCATTTTTTTTTCTCCTTGAACCCATGTAACATCTCAAAATAAATACAATAAAAAGAATAAAAGGGTAAAAATCAAAAAGCCATTATATTAAGAAGCTTTTTATTGAAAAGAGACACGTTACAGTATAAGACTCTGCATCAGGTATAATTTTTCAACACAGTACTGTACAGCTGACACAAACTCAATATAATAACAATAATAATTAGAAATACAACACCGATAATTTGAATCAGAATGATAGTTGTGATGCCATGGACTAAATAAAGGAACAAATGCAAAACCCAAGTAGTGTGAGAGAGCTCCTCCCCTTTCAGATTAGCATATTCATAAATAATTAAACGGGTTTCTTGGTGAGTGTAACATGGAGACTGTCGATGAAATAACGAGGTAACGAACGCAAACAAAAACAAAGTAAACAAACACTACTTGTTTCTCCATTTTTACATCTATTTACACAAAGCAACGACTAGTGAATGGAAATGGAAATAAAACCGAGGATATGTTCAAGAAACTTGGACATAAAGTCTGCATTATTTGCTTGCAAGGGGTGTGACGTGATGCTTTGGTTGCTGTTATGGCTGGATTTTTGTCTGTTTTGCTTATTCGTGCTTTCTTTATTCACTTACAGATGGACAGATGACCCAAAAAGAAGTTTTACCCAAGGAGATAAAACAAAAGAAGCAGAAAAAAAAAGGTTCACAAATTGATAAAAAATCGTTTATTTTTTTTTCAAATTAAAATGGCAGACTCTTTAGCGTCACCTGTCAGGGTACAGTTATTTCTATGAAGACGAAGACATTTACACAAGGAAGAGAACATTTACATCCATTCATGCAAAAAGATCAGAAACAAAAACGACTGTTTTTCCACAGAAAGGATTCAAAGTGGACATTATATTGTGGGTTCTTCACAACAAGTGATCTGTGTTCTGTAGTGCATTTAATCATAAATAATGGTTATTGTGGTAAAGCCTCTAAAGGCCTGCTACGTTATATACAAGGCGAAAACTGCAGACTTACGAGCTGAAAATCAACATGCCTCAATGTTTCTCTCATAGTTTCTATCCTCACGTCCTTCACTAAAGCTTCTCCACGCTCACGGTTCTCTTTCGAAAGCTTGGAAAACTATTTAAGTTTCTCTACACAGTCCCAAATGTCTATCAACTAGCTTAAAGACGTCCAGACTGTTTGCATTGCAGAATATTCATTCTGCTACACAGATCCTCTCACATCTCCAACCCTAAGACAAGTACCTTCACATTTCTACTACCTAGCGAACAGTAAAATCAATGGGAGCTGAGATGAAATGATCAAAGCCCATCAAATCATATTATGGAATAAGTCAATATCAAACCCTTCATGGGATCTCCAGTAATGATATATACGCCCTGAGACAGAGTCTTACATCGGCTTTACGTCTCTCAATAACAACGTGGTGACGTCCAAAACGCGGTGAAAAACTATTACTCATGTGTCTACCTGGCTGATTTTTGGCTTCGTATTGCTTTAATACTCCTTGACACATGATAAAGGAAGAAGATAAAGGCAAGGAGGATAACTAAGCTATGAAGAACAATTCAGAGAAAGAGAGCATGTAAAGGGAGCAGAAAGAGTGAACTCGACTCAAACAGGCACACTTGCAACTTCTGACACCTTAACCTGCACTGAAACAAGAAGAGGGCGAGGTGAAATATATAATAATAACCACTTTTGTCAGGGGGAGTGCTGTCTTGAAATACTTTTCTATATAGTACACTACTCAGAGAAAAAACTGAATGAGAGAGAGAAGTAAGAAGAGTATGTACAGATTGAAATTGAAGACCCAGAGAGCCCTTCTCTTCTTTGAGATAAATGAGGTTCAGGACTCTGCAGTGTAAAGTGTGAGAAGAGCAACAGACGGAGATGACCTGAGAGAGGCACGTCACTGTATGAAAGTAATGGCCGCCATAAGCAGATTTCAGTCTTTTGCATGACAAAAAGTCCTGTGTTTTCCTGATATTTTGTGGAGCTTTTAATGATGAACACTTGAGGTCAGCCTGAGCTTCAGCCCTGCACTTCTGGAATATGGTTCATCTGAATCGGTGCCTGCACACTTCACTGTGAGCTGAAGTAAAGAATGAGCCGATGGATGGGCAACATATAAGACTAGTTTGACGTGTTTAAAGATTTTTTTTAAATCTGCTAAATAAAAGCTGGTGAAAATAAAAATATAATTCCCTTTTACTTCTGAGAAATGTAAATCCTAAAACTCTTGTTTTTAAGAATCTTCCGTTGGTCCAGTAATGAGCACATAAGACAAATGCTACTCAACAAATGTTAAAACAAAAACAGTTTAAAAGATCATGTCAGATTCAGACTTCAAACTGACTCAATATTTGGCTGTTTTCCAAAAATGTCATTACATCCATTCACGTTCCTTTAAAAACAAGAAGAATAAAAGACATAATGGACATACTGATGTAACTGACTGAGAAATAGTAAAAACAGATACAAAAGAAACGTCTGAGAGCGTGAGATCAGACAGAAAAATCAGTGTCAAAGTGGTGAGATGGAAGTCCAAGTAAAGTAAAGTTCTCTGGTTCTTCTGGGTCATTTTGAAGATCTAGCGTAAAAGTATCCCATGCTGCCCCATCATTTCCTGTCTTGCTTTGTCATCTATTAGACTCCACAGAGAAGCGGCAGGGAGCAGAACGCTGATGTGTCACCTGCTCATCAGTTACCAAATCCACACCCTATTCTCCCATCATGCACTTGGTAGCTTAAACTGGCACAGGCAGAAAATCAGAGTCCGGTATTGTTTTCATTTTTGTTCAAACCAAAACAATGGATGACACATGATTGGCTAAACCCTTGCCATGACAATGTTTTCAACCTGTGGGATTGTAAAGTCAGGCAAACACAGTAGCTCTGCTCATGCTGCTTCATCATCATCAGTGTCGGGGTCTTTCCCTCGAGTCTAGTATAGTCTTATGATTCTGATGTAGTGGTGGAGCTGTACATATGAAAGTGTGTGTAGGGAGGAGGAGTGCTGACCAGAATGCATGTTCATGTGTGTGAGAGTGTACTTCTCATATAACTGCACTGTTCATGCTGCTGCAACTGTTATTGCGGTTATTGTTCCTGCGTGACAGGTTTGGTGTGGCCATGAGTGGGTAACGCTCGTCAGGACAGCCGTACTGAAGCAGGACGTCCATACACTCCTGACTGTTAGCTTGCCGTGCGTATGCCAGTGCTGTATTGCCGTGAGCATCCCGTGCCATGATGTCCACGCCGTACTACAGAGCACAGAGAGATAAAGAGAGTTATGATCCTATGATCCAAAGACTGCTGTATAAAATCCCAATTTATTTGGACTTGTAGTAAATGTATAAACAAAACACTTTATGGACTTGCTATTATTTTATGTACAAATGATTTTGCAGATGACCTTCGTTGACCTTATCATACAAACACCAGTAATGTTAATTATGTTGCTGAAATTAGAGGGCTGATCGTGCTTGCTAGTCAGCTGACAGGCCAGCTGAAAGGTGTACCGCAAATTGCAGTTGACAGATATTCGCTGTTGGTGTGAACGGACCATTCAACTGAGATCTGCTTTTTAGGTTACACATTTGTTGTGAAAAGGTCTTTACTCAAACACACATCGTGACCAATAGTTTGTTGTGTGATTAAAAGAGTGTGTCCTGTAGCTCTTACCCATATGAGCAGTTGCATGATCACAACATTCCCTTTGCGGCAGGCCAGGTGCAGGGCTGTACGGCCATCACCTTCCCCACAGGTTTCGTTGACCTCATCTCTGGAGCCGTGGGCCAGCAGTATGACCACAATGCGCAAGTCTTCCTCCGCTGTGGCACGTAGTAACTGCTGTCCTAAAGTCAGCTCTGTGCACGTCAGCGATGCCAAAAACAACTTCTGCTCATATTTGGCTCTGATCCAGCGCTCACGTTCCTCTCTGAAAGCACACACACACAGACACACACACACAGAAAACCGGGCTGTCAACACATGGTTCACACCGGTGGCATGTTTTGATCTGGCTCTCATTCCAAATGACATTTAAAATTTGATGGGATTCGTGTACAGCCATTTGATTTCGTTCCCAGTCCCGCGCCAAACATTTACTAGCTCTCACATCTCCATTACACACAGCAGCATCTAGACCTTAATACACTAGAAAAATATTATAATGAGCAGAACAGAAACAATACAACCACTAGAGGCATTTTGAACGGTTGCTGTCTGTGTGTGTAAATGTATGTCCACTTCATGGACTGTAAAAGCCTCAATACACTGACATCAAAAATGTTTTTCATTCTTCTCTTAGGGGTACAAAGGAGTTTGAAATACCTGAGCAGCGCTATACTGTTAGCAAACATCCTGACACCACCCCTGCTACTGGGAGTGGCGATTAGATGAATATGTAAATATGTGCTTTCGTCTCAATAACAAAATATATGACAAAAATGACAATGGTGAGAAAACAGCAGTTAAGAAAGCATCTGATCATTGCGATGTGGATATGTTTTGCAATAGCTCCACGATTCAGCACTCAAGTCAAGTCACATCATGCTTATTTATATAGCACTTAATACAACAGAATGCTTTAAAGCAAGCATTTTACAGTATTAAACATGAAGAAACAGTTAGTGTCACTTTCAATTAGAACTACAACTTACATTTTTACTATAAAGCAGCTCTCCAGTGTGTTCATATTTTTACTCACATCTGACCTCGATGGACTGAACAGAAAAAAAATATGTAATCGTCACAGACTGGTAGTTCAGAACAGGTATTTTAAAGGTGTTTGCGAGCCGAAGAGAACATTTCTGGACAGTTTCTGTTTCGAACTCCCGAAATGAACGGTTTGGCCTGATTTTGTTTGTGACGTCACACCAGTTTGATTCTGCTTGTATATCAGGGCCTTAAGAATGCACAGGTTCAATAAAAAAGCAAACAGAGAGAAAGCAAGCAATACACACTGAAGTGGCTGAATGAAGTGGTATAGAAGTGTAAGAACGTGAGTGTGCGTTTGACAGGGTAACCGCGAACAGGAAAGGGCCATCAGCAATCGTTGGATCGTTTACAGCATCCCCTCCTCAAACTGTGCTATGATAGCACTTAATCTCTGTTAATCCCCGCAGAGTAAACAGCCTTTCTCAGACAACTCGGGATTAGTTCAGCTTCAGCTCCTATCTGAGGGGCAGAGGGAGTTCTGATACCCCCGAGGAGGGGAAGGGAGTTGGGCAGAGGATATTGAGCTGTTCCCTAAAACGCAGCTGCCCCTTAAGGAGTCCAAACCAATGAGACCAAAGAACAGACATCCTACCGCCACAATTCCTCCTCAAAAGGAGCATCTGGACAGGAACAATGTGGACAGACAATGATCACAGACGTAAAAATATATATATATATCCTAAACACCAATGGAGTCACTTCCATTTTCAGGTTTTGATGAACAGAGCGTGCATTAATTTAATATAAATGAAAACTTGTGATCTTGAGATGGAGAAGTTTAGTCTAGGACTTGTGGAAAGATGTATTTTCAAACACAACCGTTTTAAATTTCTCTCAGATTAAATATAATGAACATTAGACACGGTTATTGGTTGTGCAAATGTATTAAAAATTGTATTGTGTGATCTAGTGATAGACCAATGTTTTGGCTAATTTAATTAACTGCCCAATATTTATTTCATAATATATAATATTGTGTTAATTCCAAGATTAGGTAAATATTGTGTAAATAACATTCAAACAATTTTCTTTAACTGAAAACTTTTCATTTAAATTTAGTATAAAATGAGTATGTTAAAGCTATTATTTAAAAACAAACTTTTGTGTACATCTATTTATATTTATTTTATTAATGTGTATATTTTTGTCCAGTGGCCATTAAAAAAAATCTCAAAATGGTTCTCAAACAGGGGACCTCTGCAAACTTCCAAGGAGGCCTCAATACGTTTTTTTATTTAGTTATAATAACAATCTTATTTAAAATGCCAAAAAAGAGAATAAAATACAGTAAAATGTAAATTACCTGTAAAGTAAATGTACATTTTTTTTAAATTATTATTATTATTATTATTTATTACAAAAAAAAGTACAAGAGATACATATCAGCTTTCAAATATCGTCTTGGACATAGGCGACCTTTAGAGTCAAAAACGTTGAAAACCATAAATCTATCACTGTAACTGCATTAAAATCCACCAATTATTTAAAATAAACAAAAATGTAAATATTACAATAGATTGTAAATGTTATACTTAAAGTGATTAAATTTCCCAATTTGATTTAATTCCAAGTTGATATCCACTGCTCATAACAGAGGACGCCACAGCCATGATGGGCTTTGAAAGATGAACTCAACTGTGTCTCAAAGGGTTAAATTCAGAAACCCTGATTACAAATTAGCCAGGTATGCATGTCAGGGGCCAGAGTGCAGAGGAGATAACATTTTATCAGAGAGGCAGATGGATTAAAAATAGGTAATCAATAGCCCAGGGAATCGATGGTTTAGTGACATCCTTCTTAATCAAGCAGCAAAGCCATGCTGACGGACCTGAACCCCCCACAGCACTCAAAGATTTTCTGTCTAAGGTCACAGCTAGCGTCACGTCTCACAGTCACAAGTGCACACACACACAAACAGGGCACACATGGGAAAGATGCAAGTAACAATCACCTGTTGATGTCAAACTATAGTCAGACATTTGACTATAAGCATAACATCTGGTTCACTTTGCAGTTTATTGTAGCCAAAAGACACTGAATAAGACAGGAAGGGGCCGTCTGAGCAATTTGTAAAGCGGCCAATTACAGTGTGTTATTTTATGGGACTAGTCCTGATTAAAATGTAAAAAAATTCTTATTTATTCCAAACTTTTAAATCAGACAATCTGTGGTTAAGATTGTCAAACAGAATAGGGAAGATGCAATGAAATGCAATTTACCCAGAACAATTATATAGCACTAACATGCAGACAGTATCAAGAATTTTCAGCATTGATCATTTGATTCACAGTAGGACCAGTAGAAAAAAAAGGATGAAAAAAAAAGGATGAAAGAGCAGGAAGGAGAGACAGGGAAGAGAGAAGTCCGGAGGAGGAGAGAAAGGCCGCAGCTTCTGTGGGAAAGTTGAAGAATTTTATTAACTGTGTGTGTTTTGAGAGGGGGGTCTAGCAGCACGGAATGTTCCGGGTGCTGCTGGTCAGCCCAGGGTGAGTGAGAGGGCTGGCACGAGGGCCACGGACCACAGCCCCCACACAAAGCATCCTGGGAGCCGTGGAGGAGGGCGATAGAAGAGGGGAAAAGATAGAGGAAGAGGCTCGGCAGGGTCTCCCCACTGCCCCTCTGCCTCTCTGTGTCTAGAGGAAATGTGGAGCACTTCACTGCCCTCTGAAACGCATGCCTTCCCCAGTTAGCAGCGTTGCTAAGGGCCAAGCCCAGCTGGCTAATGGAAAAAAAGCCTAAACTTCTTGCAGATAACCTCTTAAAATTTTAGTTAACTAGAACAGTGCTCAAAAAAAAAAAAAAAAAAAACTTATATATGAAAAGAAATGTAGCTGGTAGCTTTCGCGGGGCTGTTTTGGGTTAACAAATAAGTTTAGAATTTAATTAATCTATAAACCTTGAGGAAGACAATGGCATTTAGTGTTTGATTTTAGGTCTCCCTAAACGTGCACAAACACACTTATGCATACATAAATGGAGTGTAAGCAAGTAACAAAAGGCAACAAAAAACGGTTCAGGAGTCATGGTGACAAATGTAAAGGGAGAGGATGGGCGGCACAATTGAACCTCTCGGAAAAGACACACACACACACACACACACATACACACACACACGCACACATACAAACAGGAGAAAATAGGTCACCTGCTGCTTCCTATTCTTGTCTTAAACACCACCCTCACACTTTAATTCACACAAACACATAAAGACCCAGTACAAAAATAACTACCTTGTCTTTGCATGTTAAATTCACAAATTAAGTCAAGCAACAATACTGTATGATGACAAGATAATCATGTACAAATGTAAAAAATAAAAGAGCAAATGATTCCCAGGGGTCAGATTGGGAGCTGCTTACCACCTGGTGTCAGTTGGAAAGGGTAATCAGGGCACACACACACACACACACACACACACACACCCACACATGTACACGCATACACAGACGCACACACCAAATCAGTATTATCTCATCTGAATCTTGGGGAATTTGTCCTTGCATAGGAAGATGGCTAACTGAATTAATTAGCAACTCTGTTCCATGACTGTGTATCATTGTGTGTGTGTGTGTGTGTGTGTGTGTGTGTGTAGACCTGCTGGCGAGAAAATGCTGCTAGCAGACTGCAGGTTTCAGCAGGACTTTAATTAAGAATTACTGGCCATGCAAGTTAGATCCAAAATGTCTACTTGTAATAAGTCAACATGTCTGAACCTAATTCAGACGTAAAGTTCCCATGTTTTGTGTGCATAAAATGACTGTGATGACCACTGGTCAGTGATAAATAAGATTGCCTATGATAAAGAAATATTATTTTAAAAAACTAGTTTAACATACACGTGCAAAGTTCTTAATCTTTGTATTCATATAGGTTTCCTATGGCTTTGAAAATTACATTTCATCTTAATGACTCTAAATATGTAATGTGGTGTGTAATTTTCTTTACACCTTGAATACCTGCAGTGTAAGTGAACTTTTCTTTATCATTAGTTTAATAAAAAAAAAATCATTTTTATAACCATCATGAATTATTAATAATATATATATATATATATATATTTAAAGATACTTAAATATACTGCTTCACTGCCAAACTACAATAACTGTGTTTGCAATGATGTGTTCATGGCAAACATCGGTTTTTGTGACAGCTTCATTAAAGTGTGTTGCATTGCTGTTTTGGGACGTTTACCTGAGGGGAAGGCGGGGGATGAGACAG